GATCCATAAATTAGTATGTATGCAGTAAAGGAAATATCGATTCCATTGTTAATTATTGAAGAATGCAGATACAGTATTAATCTGAATTAGCTACACAGCCAATCACGCACTGTGTACCTGAAGTTAACCAATAAAAAGCTTGTTCATACTTCTCTCCTTCTCTCTCGCTTGTTCATACAACCTTTCTTCCATCTTGCGCTCAAAAGAAATGTCTACCATCGTATCATCCAACATTCTCAAAGTCCTTTCGCTCTCACCAGAGGAATATCGAAAGAGAAAAGTCGCCTTGATTTCTGGTGAGGATATTTAATACGCATGCCATGTTTTGATGTGGCTTCTATTCTCGAGGAAATGCAATACTTTATAGGATTTTTCTGTTTGACGATTAAAAACACGATGATTCATTGTTTCTATCAAGGTATCACCGGACAAGATGGTTCCTATCTTACAGAGTTCCTTTTGGAAAAGGGATATACCGTTCATGGGATTATACGACGTTCTTCGTCCTTTAATACCGGAAGAATCGAACATCTTTACAAAGATTTTCATGAGGGTGAGTGATAGCATATATAAAAATTGATTGTGAATAAATTCCGTCATCTCGTCGTACGTTTGTGTCATATCACTTTGCATCGTTGATCCCATATTTACACGTGATCAGGTAAAGGAAATGTGCAATGATCACTGAAATCAAACCCTGACTTCACTTTCTTAGGCCCTAAAATGATCCTTCATTATGGTGATTTGACCGATTCGACCAATCTTGTACACATCATATCGAAAGTTCTCCCAACCGAAATCTATAATTTGGGCGCTCAATCCCATGTAAAGGTTTCATTTGATATGGCCGAATATACGGTATGGAAATTTTTCGCTGCGTTGCATGAGTGTACCTCCCATTATCATTATCATTATTCATGCAAGTTTGTCACATAGGGAAACGTCGATGCATTGGGCACTTTACGATTATTGGACGCCATACGAACATGCGGCCTAACCAGACACGTTAGATTCTATCAGGTGTGAAAATTTGATATTGCTTAAATTTCGTTCATATATATATATATTAAACCTCACCTTTAACTTAATCTCTCAGGCATCCACTTCCGAGCTTTACGGAAAAGTAGTTGAAACTCCTCAATCAGAGACCACTCCTTTTTACCCGCGTTCTCCCTATGGCGTTGCCAAACTATATGCTTATTGGATAGTTATCAACTACCGTGAAGCTTATAATATGTTTGCTTGTAACGGTATCCTTTTTAATCATGAGTCACCTCGCCGTGGACGTACATTCGTCACTCGTAAGATTTCACGCGCTGTCGCCGAAATCTCCTTGGGTAAACAAGAATGTCTATGGCTTGGTAATATTGATGCCAAGCGTGATTGGGGGCATGCCAAAGATTATATTGGTAAGTGAATCTATGTAACAGGAATTTTGGATTGGTGGATCATGTTATCACAACGATTTTCATCTCAACTAACCTTTGATTTTATTAGAGGGCATGTGGCTAATGCTGCAGCAAGAAAGTCCTGACGACTTTGTGCTTGCAACTGGTGAAACGCATACTGTTAAAGAATATGTTGATAAGGCCTTTTCTGTCATAGGAAGGACCATAATCTGGGAAGGGGAAGGGGAAGAACTCGTCGGTCGTGAGAAAGACACAGGAATCATTCGTGTACGCGTGGATCCAAAGTATTTCCGTCCCACTGAAGTTGAACTTTTGCTTGGTAATCCCGCTAAGGCGAATAAAATTCTTGGATGGAAACGAAAGGTGGACTTTGACTCATTAGTGAAAGAGATGGTCCTAGCTGATATTGAGGGTGCAAAAATGAATTCGGATAATTAAATAGAATAGAGAAATCACTTTTTACATTTTTTTTTTTTTTCACATTTTACTTTTAAACCTTTGCATTCATATTTTTTTTTCTCGATAAATAAATAAAACTTTCGGTCGATGATGTTGTACATCACATGCCTGCGCGTACATTCGTTATTTCAACCTTTAAAGCAATCGGTTTTGTCTGTCCGTGAATCACCTTCAAATGAACTTATTCTAGATGATCTTCATGTGAAGTTGTCCATGGTGTTAAGCGGTAACGAAGGGGTATTCAAAAAAAACCAAATTTCACGGATGCAGGAGTAGAGCCGCGTGCGTAAAATGCAGATATTAACATACTACGGATTAAGAATTTCAAATAAAAATGTTCATTTTGTAGAAGACAGTTTGTCATTTGCGAGAAGAAAATTTTCAGCGCGACCGTCCGTACTAAATTTAAAAGAATTCTAAACACTTTATTTAAATTTATCGACCAGTTTCTTTTACTGTATGTCATCTTTTGATAATACTAAATAATGCTGATTCACCTCTTATGCATCGATTTGATATGACAAAAATTTTTATCGAGTAATTCGCTCGCGGTATTAAAGGTGCACTCCAAGTTTTTGAGGACTCTTTATAGTAAACTTTCTGAAAATTAACAAAGATCAAGATCATTAGGGTCTCTATTTACAAAAGGTCACAAAAGTTTGAACTTACACCTGGATAAGATTGGATGTATTCAGAACCGTGCCATAATTCTATAGATAGTTTAGCTGTGATAATTAAAAAAAATGTGGTGTTGGTAGAATTCCTCATGACAGTAAAGTTCAAACATCAAGAGAGAGATAGATGACTTACGATTATTCATGATCATAAAACCTTTCCAAGAGATAGATAACTTCGAACCTACCGCGTAGGTTCCAGCTGGTTTAGTCACAGTCAAAAAAGGCACAACGGGTCTTATTCCAACGGGAGGCGGGCGGCAGCTGGGAATTGTGTGGACAACGTCCGAATGCGTGACTGTTGATAAGAAGACAACCAAGATTGTAATGATTGAAATATTGAACGAGTGTCGCATATTTGATTCTTTAAATTAACGATTTGATCACGTATAATAATAAGAAGCTCTATCTATATAAAAAAAAAATCCATTAAAAATAGTTTACCGTGTGCGTTTCAACGGAACCTTTGCGTACGTATGTACTAAACCATATTGCACCCAAAATTTTGTATGGATGATCTGAAACGCTATACTATACTATCTTTTAGTTTTAATGAAGGATTAACTTATTTTGTGGATTGTCATGCAAGTGATAACCGATGCGGCAGTAGTTGGTTTGGATGTTCTCGCTAATAAGCACCAAAAAAATCCTCGACGTCGTTTCAATGACAAGCGGCTCATCTGCGAACATTTTGATAGAAGCCGAGGAAAAACTTTATTCCACGCTTTACCAAGTTGTAATCTAAAATCTGACCACCCTCATTTTCACAACTGACACGCCTCTTGGAAATTCAAAAATTATATGAATTCCTATTCAGGTTAATACCATTTTACAGTATATGCGCTTCACATGAAGCTATGCGTGTTGAAGAATCATATTCTCCCGATGTAACCTGTGCTCTTTCCAAAGTGTCAATAAATTCATTTTTTTTAATGTATGCATAACAATAGTTTATCGCGTATTAGAATTAGGTTGCTAGAAACTGTCTTTTTCCCTCTCTTTCATTTGTTTCCCTTATTTTCTTTCTTAAACGTACTTTATAAAAAGTTAACTTTGCTCTGAAATGCCGTCCATATCAACAATGTTGCATCGGTGGCTCACTATTAACAGACAAACACAGTTCGTTATCCAACGATCTTTGACGAATGTATGGATATAAAAAATAAAAGATCACGAGCAAAACAATGTTTTCGAAATTCATAGCTCTCTTACAAGAAAAAAAATGTATTCGATAACAAAAATTAGCAATGCTCAACAGCTCGAGCAAGATGTTTCTCGCCCATTTCAATCCATGTCCATCAAAAAGACTTACATCCTTTGATTGCACCACACCGATCACAGGTCTTGCTTGTCTTGTGCATTCTTCTGTACACATCTTACAATAGTTATGGCATAAGTACATTGCATTCTTTTGATATACAGTATGTCATTAATCGAACTTTTTAATTAAATCTGATGCATCTTTTTTTTTTTAACATGTACAGTATCTTTATTTTAAACTTGATTTTGCCATTTTACTCTGATATTTATCACAATACATACAGAGTCACAGTATAGAATACAAGATATATTATTTTCTTGGAATTTTTCAATAGATCAATATTAACTATTTCTCTTTTGAATGAGTACCATTATTTTGACAGGCACTTGTACATCAAAACATACATGTTCTGTTGTTACATAAGATAATGAATGTTCTTATTTTCAATTTCAGAAATTATTAAAATGTTATTTCAAATGAAAGTTGAAGTATTTATTTTCCACGATCAAAAGCTTCTTGATTATTTGGACAAGAAAATCTGTGTCTGAAATTAAGCCTGGATCCATTGTTGATAAGAAGTTCATGCTTAAAATATTTATTCATATAAGATCACACATTGTTGCATTAAGTTTATTAATTATAAACTCAAAGTTATCGAATGATGCTCCTATTTATATGCTTTGGACGCGTCTCACTCTCTTACATACATTACTCAATCATTCCATCATTTTCCCAACTTTCCCGTCATTTTTACGCGACGCATCATCACGTCGCGTACCCACCCATTATTTACTCACAACAATGTCGTTGATGGAATAGTGACTTCTGCCTCCAGCCATTTTAACGGAATCGACACGTTTGATATCGGTCACTTTCGCAAAGTAGTGTTTCCCAATCTATAGGTCTGCGGTATCTTTTTCGCGAGTAGGTAAAAAACATGAAAAGCGCAGGTTTTGGATGGACAGAAGTGAACACCGTGGCATTTTATAGCATCCACCAATTTACGCCAGTCATGTTTGATTTTCGCAATAAAATACGTAACTGTCATTTTTTTTTTTTTGATTATAACGCATTATACACTTCATTTCATATACAGTTTATGTTTATGCTTAAAATGTGTACAAAATATTAAATTTGTTTTCTCATAAGAGCTTTACGAAAATTTTTTAAACAATGATACACTTAACTTATAATAATAATACAACTCTATATTTCTACATACAGTATATTATAGATTAATTAAAAATGGTGTAAATTTAGATGACATTATCTAAATAAATAATCATCTAATCTTTACCATCAACTTTTTTACTTGTTTCACCTACTGATGTCTCTTCCGATGTTTCTTTAATTTTGATGGTTTCTAGCATTTGCTCATTTGTCTTCTCCGTCGATTCACAATCTGTATCTCCCACGCATTCCGCTACTTTTTCATCTTTTTGTTCATTAACATCTTTGCTTTCTGTTAAATCCATTTTCTTGTTTTCTTTATCTTCATTACTTACGGTCTTTGTCGGTCTCGTAGGTGGTCGCGATCTGCCAGGTGGTCTCGGCCTTTCCTTCGTCACCTTTATTTTTCATAGATAAACAAGTTAACATATTTTCAAACAATCGTAAAGGTGAAATGACAACGTACATGATTCAAAGGTTTGAGCGACGCCGATGGAGTACCCGTCACCTCTTCGGATTTGGATGTTTCATCCTTGGCATCCTTTGAACCTGTCTCATCTCTAGCTCCTATCATAACTTTTACTCGCCCAATATCACCGTTTTCTTCTCCGCTCAGGCTCACTTTCTTTCCACCAAGTCCCGTTGCTCCACGCCCCATTCCAGGCAATGGCACTTTACCTCCGAAAACACCTTCTAGTCTTTGCGAAATCGAACCATCTAACTTAGAAGGTACTCTTGGCTTGGACTGTTCGGTGGTAGTGCTAGTAGTAGCAGCTGGGGTAAGGAACGAAGAAGCCAATTTACGTGGAACCGGACCTTTCGAAGGGTTTGCAGAAGTTGAATTGACATCATCTGATTTCTAAAAATTAGAAATAAGACAAATGTCAATTCTCACAAGGCAAATTCGATAATCAAAAATTAAATATTCATAAGGGTCTCATCACCTGTGTCATCCAAGGTAATCTATCAAGTACTGCCTTTTTATTAACTTGTGGTTTTACTGCACTTTCACCACCACTCGTGTTTATTTGAGACTTCTTTGTGCCCAAAGTATCTGCAACTCCCTTTCCCTTGAGATAATTAACATCACTTATGTTAGCATAGATTATTTCAATGTATAAACTAACAGTGCAATATTACCTTTAAATTCTCCTCATCAGAATTCTTTGACGTTAAAACTGTGCTAACACTAGAAACAGTTGCGGTGGTGGTTGTGGTAATGGTGGTCGACGAATGATTATCATCAAGCTTTTTGCCAGTAAGTGCAATTGGTGATTTTGACGATTTATCTGAATTGGATTCGTTTTTCTTCTGCAAATCCTCAAAAACAGTGCCTACAAGGGATATTTTTTTTCGTTGTGGTTCGGACCTTAACGGTGATGTTTTACTTTCTTTTCCCTAAAATATGAATTCAAAATTTCTAAAATTTATCACGGAACTTAATCGCACATACAAACGCTAAACCTTTCTTGCCTTGACAAATTCTTTAACATTTAATCTTCCTGGAGTTTTCGGTAGGTCCCCTTTCTTATGTACATCTATCTCCGGTTTCTCATTTTCAATATCTCCAGCGGTTATTTCGATGTTAGTCTTTTCCACCTCCAATTTAGTAGTTTCGGCTCCCCCCTCACTAACTTTCGCCACCGTCTCTACTACGGTGGTTGTGGTCATTTGTACCACAGAATTTACGTTTTTATTAAATAAAGATTTGGTTGATCCTTCATTTCCATGCTTCTTATCTGCATCCTCGAACATTGCGGTAAGAAGAGAGGTCTTTTTGCGTGGCGGTTCCGGCTTCGGGCGAGGTGGTTGTGTGTCGCTCTTTTCCTGAAGGGATAGGCGTTGATTTTTTTATCTCACCAAGAGTAATGTTTTATTTATATTTGAATTTCAAAAGGCAATAACTTTACCTTGAAAAGGTCTTTAACATTAATCCGTCCTGGTGTCTTTTGTAAACCATCTTTCTTCTCTGTCTCTTCTACTTCCTTCACGACTGGGTCGGTTAAACGTTTTGGGATTTTTTCGTATCCATCGTTCAAAGATGAATCAGATAATTCATTGTTTGTTGGCAATGGATCTGATTTTAATGCTTTTGGCTTCGGACGCAACAAAGGTGCTTTCTCCTTCTCCTGTTATTAACAGTACGAATGATCGTATAAGAATGCGCGTACAAAGTCAGCAATCCATTGAACCATGATAATAGGCCCACGTAATCTAACTCAACCTTGGAAAGTTCCTTCATATTTGATTCCTCTTTCGGAATATCCTGAATTTCAGAATTTTTTTCCTCGATTGTTGCGCCCTCGTTTTCAGCTGTTATTCCAACCCCTAAATTATTTTCTGACATCATTTCATTAATTTCCTTATTCTCAGTGACAGGTGATGCTGCACTGGGCTTCTCTTGCGTATACAACTGTCCAATTATACTTGCTCCAGTTTCTCCTTCGATAATGTGTAACGCTTTAGTCGGTGACACGGGACTTCCACATTCCTCACCACATTTCTTATTAGTCACGCTGGATCCCGCGGATAACCCATCAGTATTTGAATTCTTTAATCGCGCAAATCGATTTATTTTGAATTATCAAGTGGAGGTGGATATATATATATATGTATGTATGTATGTATATTTAATGTGTAAAGTTACCTTCTGTGTATCAACAGACTGAGGTTCTGAGGTGGAGGTAAGCGGACTGATTGAAGTAACTTCGATCCCCCGTGAAGATTCGTTAGCCTCATCTATCGAACTAATTATTTCAGATGATTCGAGTTTAGATCTGGGAGGTGAACCGAAGGATGTACGAGTTGAGGATCCAAATGTTATTCGTGTTGGAGAATCAATTGATGATGACCTCGGAGATTTCGATGATAATAAATCTACCGAACCTCTTCTC